GCCGGGTCAGCAGGCTCCAACAGGCAACCCGTGCCCTGGTTTCTAGTCCCAGGAGCTACTAGCTGAACTAGTAAGGAGCGAAGTCAGTTCTGCTGCCCGCGGCCGTGTCACGTCACAATTCATGCGGTTAGTCGAGGGGCTGCTGCTGGGCAGGTCAGTGGCAACGTGACTGACAATATCGTGGGCTGCCGTAGGTCCATTTATATGTTTATACTCCCCAGGGAACAATGTTCCTCCCCTTTCCAGCAGCCTTCATTGGCCAGGGCTCCCCCCACAAATGTATCTGAGCCAGGAGGCTCAGTCCATGGGACAAGGTAGGTGTGAGAGCAGAGGGCGAGTCCATGAACAGATCAGGGCCCTGCCCCACAACAGTTCCTGGCTGGACATCAGCCACTCTTTCAGAAAACATCCAATCTTGATTTAAAAACTGCTAGTGACAGAAAACCCACCACATCCCTCGGGATTCTCCTCGCCTCTGCCAACCCAGCCTGGAAAGAGGGGCTCCAGAGAGGAATCCATCACCTTGGAGTGAAGTTTCTCTGGTCATAGCTAAAGGCTTTTGTTATTAAAAGCTAATTGCCATGAGCAGGTGGCTGCAGTTTAAAGCAAGAGAAGCTACTGAGATTAACAGTTCCTCTGGCTAACAGCTGCTAGTCTTACATTACTGGATATTGATAATAATCCTAATTGGCAGGGGAACCAACACAGCCACCATTACAGAGCTGAACACGAACACTAGTTTGCTGCAACCTTACCTTCCTCTTGGTGTTACAGAAGATGACCGCCTGTGTGATCGTGAGTGTGTCGTACAGGTCACACAATGTATCAAACTTCCATTCTTCCCTTTCCACAGCCACAAAAAACTGCTTGATTCCTTCCAGAGTCAATTCATCACTGCAGACAGAAAGAACCATTGTGCCTTACTAGACACTTCAGGGTAGTTTGGAAGCCAATACATTTCAACTAGCCAGCCATGCTGAACTGAGTTCATGCTCTTCTTACACTGAATTGCTGACAGGGTTGATAAAAATAGTTTTTGGCTTTTTAAAGCCATGAAAATTCTACATTTAAGTTACAATTAAATCTTATCACAAACATGCTACTCCTACATTTATGATCTCATAAAAATGAATGAATGGCTCTTGTCGGTCCAGTTTAACCACCAGCTCTTGCTCCTTGAAAGTTCGGGGCTTTCAGTTTCTGTTTGCACATGGTTCTCAGCTCACTAAGACAGACAGCCTGGATCGAGTTTGTTCTGGGTGTTTGTGGGGTAAACACAGGCCAAGCACAGCAGTTAGTTAAGACACTGTTTAAAGAGAGACAATACACAGGAAAGGATGGAGGCAGCATAGAAAGGAACAATGGAGTGGACTGGAAAAGCAAACAATATTCAGCGCACAGCTTCCTATATTCTCCTATACTTCTGGAATAAGAGATCCTCTCTGGGAATATTGTGAATAAATCTGTTCCCTGGGTAAAAGGAAAACATGTCCCGATAAGCAGCGCTAGATAATGATGCAAGGCCTAGCTGCAAGAACGAATCATAAGGCAAACTTAGTGGGAGAAAATGATGCAAATGACGATGCAGCTGAAGAACAACGTGGAGCAACTTTGCAATGCATCATTCTTCAGGACTCTGCCTTTAGTAGAAGTGTGATTTAAGAATTCACAAGCTGTATGCTGTGTTGGATGTTGCTAGGAAAAAAATGTTTCTTAGCTAATCCTTATGGCTTGGTTCATTAATTTCAATCATTTACAGCATTAACTTTCTAGTACAACACTGAAAAACTTTGAAGCAATCCCACTTAAAAGTCCTCACTTACAGAGGAATACTAATTGCAGAGACTGACAGACCAATTACCGATGGAACTCGAGTTGCTTTTCAGGTGGAAACATCACTCACCGTTTAACCAAGATGCGGATTGGGTCAGTCATGAATTTGTTGGTCATCTCCAGGATTTCGTGAGGCAAGGTGGCACTGATCAGAACCACCTGAGTAGCTGGGGGCAGGTATCTGTACACATCATAAATCTGCTCTTTAAAACCTGCCAAAGCAAACCAAAGAGCACAGCAGTGTTACAATCTGTGGTTTCCTCGTTCTTACACTGACTCTGGAATTCAAATTTAAGATTACACTGAAAGACAAACATTGGGAAGTAGGGAATTCACAGTGAAATCACCAAACAACTTCAACTCGGTCTTCCCACCCAGGCTGCAAAACCATAGTACCCTACACAAAATGGAGAGGTTCTGAGGCCCGGTTGGGGACCCAGTTCTGGGATGAGCCGCCGTAAGGATCTCTCACTATATCAGATCAGGTGTAGCAAGTAGTCAGAAGGCTAGTGAAGTTCTAACCAGCAATATCACTCGCCCTTTAATTGCCAAAGGGCTACTGTTTTAGAAATAGAATGGCTAGTGCTCTGCACAATGTAGCATGAAGCAGAAGGGGAGTACAGAGCCGATTTCTTACCCTTATTAAGCATCTCATCAGCTTCATCCAAAACCAGCATTTTGATGGCACGAGTCCTTAAACTTCGCCGCCGAATCATATCTGCAAGATTTCAGTTCAGTATTGTGAAACTGGCTCCAGACACACATACCTGCAACCCTCCCTGGCAGCTGCTATCCGACAGTTCTACTTATCTCTGCATCTGCAGCGATTTATCCCCACAGTGTGGCACTGAATTCATTTGACAGCCCAGGAAGGCCAGGATGCCTGCAGCTCTCTGATGCTTCTTGGTAAGCTACAGACAGGATGCACCCACTTATCCAAACAGTGTGAGGAACAGAGATTTTAGTGGGTAGCTGGGAGTGTGGATAGAACCAAGAGGGCTGCCTCTCACTGCCGCCCTCCCAACGTTCTCCCTTGCAGTAGAAACATCTGCACAAGGTACAGACTTCACTGCTGTTGCTTTGCAAGCACAGGAACAACAAAGCAGCAGACTCCCTGGCAGCTGGCTTCTGAGGTTTTCTGTGGAGGTGGCAGGGGTCTGGAACAGGCTGGGTGCAGAAAGGAGCTTAGGGTAGGAGGGGGAATGGAAAGGAACGTGGTTGAATGAGGAGTTAGGGTTAAACCACAGGATACATCTTATGATGTGGGGCAAGCAAGGTAGGAGAAATGAGTTGCAACCCATCTGCACAGTACCGGTGTGACAGCAATCTATGGTATGGAGGCAATCAGCTGGAAGACATGTTTATCCTTTGTAAGCTGCTGCATTGGTTCCTGCATGCTGCCCAGGGACCAGCATGGACACTGGACACCTTGATGCCACATCTGCTAGGGCCAGAGCACGGGCACCAACCAGATGAGAAAAACTTCTCTGTAAAGAAGGTCCGAGGAGGCATAAGAACATTACGGCCAGACTGGGTCAGACCAATGGTCCATCTAGCTCAGGAGCCTTTGATCTGACAGTGGCCCTTGCCAGATGATCCTGTCTGTTCATTCCCTCTGGTGCAAGAGATCCATTGCCAGAAACCAGGAATGGGTGACACAAACAGAGGCTTGTAACGCAATCCCCACCCATCCTGGCTAATAGCTATGGATGAAAAGGCAGTAAGGGCAGTGTGGGGAGAGCAGTAGCTTCAGTTCCTACACCTCCCCCAGAGCTTCATACCAGTTTCTGGGGGTAGGTAATAACATTCTTAGCAAATTATTTTCTTCCTTGTTACTGTGCAAACAGCAACACAAACAAGAGAAACAGACAATTTGGGGAAGCAAAATTGACTATACACAATTAGCTTAAAAAAAGTTATTTCGCTCTCCCCAATTCTTTCAACTGGAGTGATCTTAAAAGTTACTGTTAACAGTAAAAATGAATGCTTAGGTTTATAGCGTCCCTTTATATGGGGTTTTCATACCAGTTCACATTTGCAGGAACTGAACTATCCCTTAAGCATGGACGCCATAAAACTCATCCAGAACAATTGTGTATTTTGGGTATTAAGCCAATTATGGCATAGCTAGTCAGTGACCTCCTTACCAAAAACACGGCCTGGTGTACCAGCAACAACGTGCTGCCCATAATCCAACTTCCGGATATCTTCACCAACATTTGTGCCTCCGATACAAGCATGGCACTGCACATTCATGTAGTCACCAAGAGCAAGAAGACCCTGGATCAAATCAGCACAGAAGAAACATTTAGACAGTTCAGTTCACAGTAACACCACAAATTATATGCAATGAAATCCTTCAATAGGCAGTTCGGGTCCCTCCCTGGTTTGCAGATCTTTCCATATTGCACACCTCTCTGCCCCTGCTCTAGCCTGGGGTGCTATTCCTGTGCTTTCTCTGTAAAGCAGGAGTATGAAAGAGAGGACTGCTGTTGTGCCTCCCACACTAGGAAAGGAGTTGAGAGCACAGGCAGGAACACGGTATCTCCGTACTAAATCTAAGTCCCTCAACATTTAAGTTAGAGCTGGTAGGCCAAATCACAAGCATCACAAAATTCGCAGCTGAACTTAAACAGAGGAATTGCATCAATAAGGCAACATTTTCTCTGATTGGGGTATTTCTAGCCACACACAAGTTTTCTCAATGACAAGATTCAAAACATGGGATTTTTTTTTTTGATGCTCCAAGAAGGAAAATGCCATGGTGCCACACTCCAAAAAGCCAGGATAAAAAGCTACAGCATCAAAGCAAAGCTTGCAACACACTCCACAGGACATCTAAGGCAGCACTTGTGCTCCCACCCAAGCTGCACAGAAAAATGAATAAATTCAGCTTCACAGCATCTCAGAGATTTGCACACGTCACAGAAGGCGCACTGCAATGCCATGTGAGCACAAGAGGAGGAACACACACTACCCGTTACCTGAAACTTCCTCAGGGATTCTAACATGAAGAGCCCAGCTGTACCACAGCAACCAATAAGATACTTACTTTTGGGCTAATCACAAGTTATTCCAGTGGAATCTCAGTAAACCAGCAGTATTATCAATTTGTGACTACACCTAATACAGTAGTAGGTATAGAAACAAGTATATGTACCACCATTTCATTTTCTATGGAGGAAAAGAATCACTGCAAATTTTCAAAATGCTAAAAGTTTACCAGCTGTTCTAGTAAAACTGGTGAGAAAGTACAAGCGCAAACTATGTGCTCAAGAGTTTGGTTGCTTCAACTTTGATTGTTCTTACCTTTTGAATCTGTACTGCCAACTCCCTGGTTGGTGCCAAAATCAATGCCTGAGTTTCACGGACCTGAATGAAAGAGTGAGAAAGTCCAATATCACCCAAACGTAACACTGGGAGTGGATCACAAAGGACTTGGAAATGACAGACACCAGGAAGGATTCAGCGTGAAATTTAGCACAAAATGGATAAGTGTTTACAAGGATTAACTCATCTGGGAAGTTGCTCCTGCCGAAATGCACTCACATGAGAATACCTTCCTGTGTAAGGCACATTCAACAATAGCATTCATCAGCATGTTCCACTCCAATGGCTTGATTTTCACTATGCTAGCTGCAACTAATCAGTCAGTCCTACTTTGTGAAAAATACTAACGATGACTGTATGTGTTCTTTGTGTGCACATGAATAGAATAGTGTGATGGGTGCCCACTCCACACCTACCCTGAAAGATCAAGGCAGGTCAGAAAGGCCAATTAACTTATTAGGTTGCAAGCCATGGGGAATTAAGATAGAGAAGCCTTAATTAGAAGAAGCTCACCTTTGCAAGAACTGATGAGGCCTAAGTAAGCATGCAAATTGACAGAAGAGGTGCTCGTAAAGGCTGGGCTGCAGCCACTTGCTGGGAAAAGGATGGAGTGTTTGCAAGCTGTATACGGGTAGTCCAGTTGTTGGGGGAGAGGGGTGAAGGGAAGAGGGCAGGAAGTTGGGAGGCTGACAAGCTCAAAGAGGGGAGAAGCCAGGGAGATAGGAAGCTCAGGGGAAAAACACCAAGCAATCGCCGTCGAAGGCTGCTCTACTAATGGACATAAGAACAACCATACTGGGTCAGACCAAAGGTCCATCTAGCCCAGTATCCTGTCTGCCAACAGCAGCCAATACCAGATTGCCCCAGAGGGAGGGATCAGAACAGCTAATCCTCACGTGATCCCTCCCCGTCACCCTCTTTCAGAGAAACAGAGGCTAGGGACACCATTCCTACTCATCCTGGCTAATAGCCATTGATGGACCTAACTTCCTTGACTCTATCTAGCTCTTTTTAAAATCCTGGTAAAGTTCTGGCCTTCGTTGCATCCTCAGGCAAGGAGTTCCACAGGTTACTGTGCGCTGAGTGAAGAAAAACGTCCTTTTGTTTGATTTAAACCTGCTGCCTATTAATTTAATTTGGTGACCCCTAGTTCTTGTATTGTGGGAATAAGTAAATAACTTTTGCTTATTCACTTTTTCCACATCTCTCATGATTTTATAGACCTCTATCATATCCCCCGAGTCTCCTCTTTTCTAAGATGAAAAGTCCAAGTCTTTTTAATCTCTCTTCATATGGGACCCTCTAATCATTTTTGTTGCCCTTTTCTGAATCTTTTCCAATGCCAATAGATATTTCAGATGAGGCGACCACATCTGTATGGCGCATTCAAGATGTGGGCGTCCCATGGTTTTATATAGAGGCAATAAGATTTTCTGTCTTATTCTCTCTCCTTTTTTACATGACTCCTAACATTGTTTGCTTTGACTGCTCCTGCACACTGAGTGGATGTTTTCAGAGAACTCTTCACAATGATGCCAAGATCTCTCGAGTAGTTATAGCTAAATTAGTCCCCATCATAGTGTATGTTCAGTTGGGACGATCACGGCAAGCCAGCTGCACTGTCTGGCATTTTGCGCATGCGCAGATCGCCTGAAGCCGGCTTTTCCGGGTTACAATCTACTCTCCACGGGCGAGTAGATTGTATTATTTGTTGAGCCCTGGGGATGATGTTTTCCAATGAGCATTACTTCACATTTATCACCACCACATTTCATTTGCCATTTTGTTGCCCGATCACTTAATCAATGAGGGGGCCCCTGAACTGGGGGGGGGGGCAATGTTCCCTGTAAGCTGTGCGCTTGTGCAGCCACTACGGAGAAATTCAAATAGCCCCCAGCTGATTAGCCAAGTGCTCACAGCTAGGCTCTGCTTCTATTGATGGTGCACGTTCCCACATGTCTCAGTGCACGAAGTGTATTCCGCCTATGGACGGAAAACAGAAGGAACACTGACTGGGACCTGGAATAGAGGGTGAGCCCAGGTTCCCCTACCAGCTGCTGAGAAACAGGCACTGACTGGACAGTGAACAGGAAGACTGCCTGAGCCCATCTGTTAAGAGAGACTTTGCTACCCCACAAGGGGGAACCCAGTGACCAGGACAGAGGGCCAAGTGCAGAGAGGCTACTGCAATCCCTGGAGCAAGAAGAGTCTGAAGGACAACGGGAGAGACACTGTTACAGGAAGGTGCAGCACCTGGCACAGCTAATCCGGAAGACCAAATGGAGGAGGCACCACTAATGGTGAGTAGACTCCCGGTGAAAGATGGAAATACTTTATCATTACATTTGATTACTTCAAAAGTTTTCATCTTAAAATTGTAACATGTAGTGTACTTAAGTGTTGAAAGGTACCTGGATGTCCAAACACTGTAGAACAGAGATACAAAATGTTGCTGTTTTGCCTGTTCCAGATTGTGACCTGGAAAGATAAAGCATTTAAGAACCTATTTCTGGAGAACACACAGAGATAACTTTAACTTTCCCCAAAACAAAAGTTAACTTTCTGTTAATCCTTCAATAGTCAACAATACAATTAATTGCCAAACTTAATTTTCAACAATGTATCTTACCACACTTTAGCAAATGTGGTTGTCATTTGCACAATTAAAAAAATTGTTTGACACTAGTAAATCCCCAGGACTGGAATGCCCAGGCACTAAACTAACATCTTCCATGAAGATGACTTGGGAATCATTTTGCTTCTTTGCAAAACAGGTCATTAGGTGCAGGGAGAAGGGAGTGGGAAGTGTTTTTTGCTTATTTTACAGTAGAGCTCTCTGAAAATGTCAAATCCATTTCTCTGGTTTTGCTGGAAGACTGTCCTGAGAGTCTCAGAGTATGTTTACTGGGAGCTCACGTTTGAACTGAGGGCACATCTACATGCACAGTGCTGCAGTTGTACCAACGCAGCTCCACCTCTGCAATGCCTCTGGTGAAGAAGACTCTATGCTGATAGGAAAGACCTTTCCCACTGCCATGATAAAAGCACCTCCATGTATGGCAGAAGCTATGTTGGCAGGAAAAACTCTTCCACCAAAGTACTGCTGAAGACATGAGTGCTCACGTCAGTGACAACAAGGAGTTCAGTGGCACCTTAAATAATTAACAATTTTATTAGGGCATAAGCTGTTAGCCTTTAAGGTGACACAGGACTCCTTGTTTTTGTTGAAACAGACTAATTACAGTTACCTCTCTGAATTGTCAGTAACTGTTACTCAGAGTTTATTCAGACCCTGAATGACATAAGTTATGCTGATAAACTGTAGTAGACACGAAGTCTGAGGTGACTTCTTTGACTAACATTTTGAATCCAGGGGTTGGATAAACAGGTGTTAATCCATGACTAAAAATCTCGAGTGCTCCACTTCCCCCGCTCTACACATCTCTGGCTGATTCTCATGGTCAATTTCATGGCTTTGACATAAACCTATTTTAGGCAAGAACTTTAATCTTGAGATGGGTTATGACAAAGCATCATGAAAGTCCACATGACCTAGCACTGAGATGTTAGGTGAAACCAAAGTTTCACCTACAAAAACACACAACTGGATTTTAAAACTAG